TATTTACCTTTTTTAATCTATCAGTGTATATTTGGAACTGTTACTGATACAGGGTTGTGTTGGATAGTCTATGTGTTTTTGCTTTTTTTTTGTTGTCATCAAGAATTTTTGCTTTAGATCATAAAACACAAACGTACAAAGGACCACAACAACGTGGCACACAAAACAGGGCAATAAAAAAAGGAAAGAAAATTCAAAAGAAATAATTTGGTATTACAGCAGTGCTGTTTTTCATCTGAAGTGCTTGTGCTTTTTAAAGTACTTTGATAAATGCTTATTATTGTAATAGTATAACTTAATAAAATACTTTGAATTTGAACTTTAACCGATGGGTAGATTACTTCAAACCGCTCCTACCAAGCACCAAGTTAGGACATTTCTGCAGCAGTATTATATTCTATTTCATTTCATTTTAGTCCGAAAATCAACGTAAATCATCAGAACTAATTTCCTTCTTAAAATATTAAATTTTCCATCAAGAATATGATGTCAGGTTTTTGCAGGTGCACTCATCGTTTGTATTGCTGAACATTTTCACAGGATTATACACAAATATGTGAGCATTACTTTTCATAACATATCATATGAACCGTTTCATGAGATTACATTGTTTAGTGACACTTTTTATATTTGTGTTATTCATGTTCTGGTCTAAATCAAGCTCCATGTTGAGTCTGTTTCTGACATCATCACCTCTTTGATAATGTATTTACATGATTGTTACAAGTCTATAACATTTTAAAGGTTGTGCTGACCTCCTCACTGTTAAACCTGTAGATAGACACCACTTCAAACCAAAAATCAGAAAAGACAAAGGTAGATTCAGAGATTTAAAGATTTGATTTAATCTCACAAATTAAAAATGCATTTTTCATTTACAGATCCTTAAACTTATAGTTCAGACCAAACACAACATCTGTCAATCCATATTTAACTGGATATTTTTAGATATTCCAGTGTGCAAGGTGATGTGGTTGATCCCATAGCCGTCACTGTTTTAGAAATTGCTCTAATTGTTCCATCTCGATTGCGTTCTCAAAAGCAGTGAAGTCCTGAGAGAAAGAACAGGTGAGTGGGTCAGAGAGACAGAAGAAAAGAGAAAAATAGTTAGTTTCTAGATATTTTTTAATATGTTATATATCCTGCTGAACATGTTTTAATATATTTCAACAGCTTGTGTCCTGTGTTGAGGCTCATACAGGCAGTCTATGCAATAATTCACATGCAAATACAATAACATTGACACTGAAAGAAGAAGAGTTAACAACTATTATACCACCTCTCAGTGTTAAAAGCTCCTGTCCTAGCATTTTTGATCCTTTAAACAAAAATGTAGCAGAAGCTGATGCGAATGTTTTATCATTTTAGCTATTTGGAGATAAAAAGTTTGACCTGAAAAGATATTTAAATTCATTCCTCAGGGAAGTTGATAAATGTCTGTACTGAGTGGTGGTTCAGTCCATCAAATAACTGTCAAGATATTTCATGTTTGAACAAGAAAAGTCAACCTCCAGGTGGCGCTACAATAAAACCCAGAGCAATTTTTCCATTGTAGGGAAGTCTGAGCGAAATGCTGATTGTATGTCAAAACACAGAGGTTGAGTTAGGTCGTTAGTTCGTTCATAGTAGTTAGTTAATTAGTTGGTTACTTAGTTAATGTTGGGACAAGGCTTTGTATAAGATGAAGGCCTAGTGGTTATAGTTAGGCTTTTTGTCGGAAAGAAATTCCTAAAAACAGTTTATGACAGACTACCACAGGTTTTTTCCCCCCGTGTCACACATGTAGAGGGTGTGAATGAGGGTTATTGCTCAAGACTTACTCCACAATAGATGTCACCATTGCATATTTGCGGTGGCAGCGCAGTTGGGTTTCCTGCAATCTTCCTCATTTTATTCTTATCGTCCACATTCTGAGAAATGTCGACACGTTCATAAAGGATACTCTTGGAGTCCAGGACAGAGAAGATTAACTGCTGATTTTTCTTCATCTGGAGAAAAAGTTTTTGAATCAGTGTTAAATTCATGCATATGGCCTTGACATGCACATTCAAAATCAAGCACTGTCTAGCAATTAAGACTGTTCACAATGAGCAGCTCCTGTTTGCGTGCACACAGATTAACAAAGATTATGATGTTCAAATTACCTCACAAGATTTTGCTTAATGTCTCAAATATATGGCATCAAGTTAAAGAAGGAAGTAAGTTACTTTACCTCCAAGGAGCTGCTCACGCTGGAATAATACACTTTGAGTGGCATATCTGCTATTTTAATGGTAACCCCTTAACATCGACACAAAAACAGGTTTGTAAAGACACAGTCAGAGAGAGGTGCAGAGAGAAGAGGAGACAGACGGAGAATGTCCTACATGTGGGAATGTGCTGCTGGTTTGCTGTCGCAGCAGCAGACAAGGTGAGCAGGTTTGGACAGGGCTTACGTGCCTGCATGGGCACACCCACTCATCTGAGCTACCATTCCAGTCACAACCTGTCTGACTGCAACGATTGTGAAATTACAGACATTCACATAACAGTGGTGGAAAGTAATTAGTGCACTTGGCACTAGACGTAACGATTTGTTCTTCTTTATTGTTGCAATTAAAGTAAAAGATAAAATTGTTCTTGTGGCTCATTGTGACACTGTCAAGACTTGGACACTTTCTTTGTTGAATATTGTTATATTTACATAATCCTTAGAAGATCTATACTTTCAGTTGTAGCTTTTGGATATTTGGAATATTTACAGTGGATTAATAAAAACAAAATGATTTCCATTGAATTTGACTTTGAGTTAATAGCTATTTAACAGCTTTTTCATTAAGGTCTTGAAAACCGTGTAATGTTCCTTTAGTCCTTGAAAAATACATAGTGTTGCTTTAATTAATGGAGCACAGCCTGCGGCATGTGGGGTTGAGCGGAGGAATCTGCTAGACCAGCTGTGGAGTCACATGGTTTTCATACCATATCCTGTCATAGTTGTTTATACAGCAAAGACGATTCTTTGGATCAACAGCTGCTTATGACTCTTAATAATAAAACTCTTCATAAATAAACGTTTTAAGAGGTTTTTTTTACTTTGCAAAAGACGTTGAGTGGATTATTGGAAACTAGATTGGTTGGAGACATGTATGACATAATACTAGCTAGGACACATTTTGGTACTAACAATAAATAAATAGTAATAACAATAATGGAGCAAAGACACACCAATAACTGAAAATTAGATAAGATCAGATATTGTAATGTGAAATGCAAATAACAGAAGATTTAAAAGGAAAACCCAAATAATCAGAGTCCAACCGCCCGTCTTAACTAATTTGTTGGACGGCACCAAGTCTTATTGTACAGAGTGTGGACGAGTGATGGGGGGGGGGGCCCTTCTCTAAAGGTGGCAGTACCATATCTGTACAGTGGCAGGCTTCAAGACGCACAGGGATGTACACTGGTCGGAAACCACCCAGCATTCAAACAATGGAACTGGAATAATAAGTGCTAATGCCCTGTGAACCATATTGCACTGCTTAAAGGTTCAGTGTGTATGATTTAGGTGAAAGGGATCTTTTTGCAAAAATTGAATATAAAATTATCCTCATGATGTTTTCACTAGTGTGTTTCATCAAAATTGTATGGACTGTTCACCCTAGAAGAGGCCCTTTATATTTAAATACTTTATATTTACATCGAAGGGGTCCACTCTATGGAGGCCGCCATGTTTTAAACAGTAGTCCAGACAAGACAAACTAAACACCTTTAAGTTTCTATGACAACTGAAGGGTACCACAGGTTCTCTGTCATGTTTGGGTGATGTGAGGGGTATTCAGCTGCAACATGCAATTTCACCACTAGATGTCACTAAATTCTACATACTGTACCTTTAAGTCTATAGGTACAATGTGTAGAATTTATTATCTGGTGTCAAACTGCCAGGTTTCTTGTTGTTATTGTGACACTTTAATAGAATCACTGTGTATGTTATTAACAATAACTGTGTTTCCTACTATGAAAAATAAAAATGTCTGCAGTAAAATAGGCTTATTATCCCTACATGTATGTATGTATGCATACAAATATTAATATATGTGAATAAGTGTCATGTTTGTGGATGTTTACATGTATATGTCTGTGGGTGTGTATATGAATATAGGTGTAGGTATATATACAGAGGGGTGTATGTATATTATGTTCTTCCATGTATTACATTTTAAGAGTCTTCAAAAAAATGTTGTGCAGAGGTTTTTTTCCTATCCAGGAGGATGTAATTGGCAAGTGTGACCAGGATCAAAAACTCTACAAATGAAAAGGAGAAAGTGTTGTATGAAATATAAATTTATTGATCAGCATTTACACCAAAACAAATAATGATAAAATGGGGTGATAAATTTCCATGCAGTAAAAAGACGTAAAAACTGAAGCATTTTTTGTCGTATCCATATGGGTACATTCCAACAGGTCCATGAAACTGTGCTTTGTGATCGGCTGCATCTACTGGAAAAATAAAAATGGCTTCAAGACGAGGAAAATATGTTTTATAGAGAAATTCAATTTGAGGAAGAAATCATGTATTTGAGGAAATATGAAGTTGGTACATTTCTGAATCATTTGTTTACATAAAAAGAGGATTAAAAACACAATTAACCCAGTTCCTTAATGTTCCTATGGTCTGACAGTAAGAGCAACATAACACCAGCTGATTGTTTTTTTCTGAGCGCTAACAATTAAATTTTGCTGCTGTGATGTAGACGTGTACCCCAGAGTGTACCAGTACACTGTAACATCACTGTTAGCTGTGGCTACAGGTGCAACAGAAGTGTAACCTGCACAGAGTAACACTGCTTTTTTTAGAACAACGTTGCGTGTTCAAATCTATCGAAACCGCATAACGCAGGTTGTCCCAGGAGTCATTTTGTTATCATGAGTTAACGAGTGGTTCAAGCTCGTAACACACTCTCCCAGCCAGGTCTTCAGGGACTTTTTCAACAGAGTCATCAAAGTCCACATCTGCAATCTTCTCCTCCGGGCTATGACTGTGTCCAGCAGGTTCATCATTCACCAGGGTATTGTGGCCCCTGGCAGAGACAGGGAGGGTCACAAGTGTTGTTCGATCTATAATAAAATGTAGCAGACTGTGTATGTTTTGGCATTTTCCTCACCTGCCACTAGGTGCTCCGTTGCTTCTGTCTTCTGCATCTTGTTTTATCGCTCCACCAAACCTGTTACTAAACTGAACCATGGTACCTGTAAAGTGAGTGTAACATCATCATAACTCCGAAAGTCAAACTTTAATCAGGTTTGACATGAATTTAATTCAGAATGTGTTGGGTTTTTTGGCCACTTGAGGGCAGCATAATAATTAGCTATAAACACAGTACTCACATACCTTGTATGTAAGAGGTTTGCCACTTACCAGCACCGCGCCATCTCCTTCTCCAAACCATGTAGCCTATAGCCAGCACAATTACCAACACCACTAGACTGACCACAACTCCTGTGACGACCGATGATGATGAAGATGCTGTAGGCATGAACGATCATTTAGTAGGTATAGCCAAGGAGAAATGTGGCTCCAGTTTCTGTTCAAACATTAATCAAATCTTACCAATTACAGCAACTTCAAGTGACTTTGAAGGCGGGGAAGTGAAGACCACAGAGGAGAGGTTAACAGCATAGACACAGCTATATTCTCCTTGGTGTATAAAATCTGTTGCAGGAAATTCAAAGTATGCAAGGTAGAAGACAGAGTGGCCAAATGCTGGCTTCATCTCGGTGGTGTTCTTGTTGGACTTTGCCAGATAGAAGACACCTGCGGGATATTTGGAATGAGTAGAGCAAGTGACAGAGAAGCTGCTGCCTTCGGGGACCGATATTTTGACAGGGCTGTAGATCACCATCGCGTGAGGGGAAGTCAGCGAGATGCTCGGTGTCTCCAGTTTCACTAAAGAACAGAAACACATTATTTTTACAATCTCACACTACAAACATTTCTCACTATAGGCCTGTCACTTTTTATTCAGGTGGTGAAGTCTGTATTTTGTCTGTAATGAGCTGTTCAAAATCAGAAATATTCAGTCTATAAGCGCTTCATCAAAATGTCTGAAGCAGTTTGTCTCCTGATCCAGCAGAGGGCGGCCATTGTGCCCTCTTGAGCAAGCCAGTAATGTTACATTGTTTTGCAATGAAAATGGAGCAAAACTGTACGAATCGTGTGTCATATCAAATTTGCTGAAATTGGAAGAACTGAAATCCCTACTTCACACATTTATGTTCAGGGGGAAAAATGACTGACCGGTAACAGAGAGCTCTGCAGTATTTCCTTGAGGATAATAGATGAGTTGACCGACCAGTTTCTTCTGATATTCACAGAAGTATGATCCCTTTTGGTTGAAGTCCACCGTGGGGAAAGCAAAGGTTGCCGCTTCATTTTCTGAGAATTTTTCCATTTTAAACGATCCTTGAAGCTTTTTCAGGGCGAATGTCCCACCCATTTGTTCTGTTACGATCCTGCAGGTGATTTCGACTCTGTCACCCCAGTTAACCTCTGACCCAGGACTAATGGAGATTTCAGGTTTCTGTAGAGCTCCTGAAATTGATAATAAATTGTAATTAGTTTGGTATGTCATAACAAATTAACGTATATAAAGATGAACACCATGTCTCCACTTCCTCCCACTGTACAATAATGAAGCCAAATATCTTGAAATGGCGATGACATTAGGTTTGACTTGGATTATCATCAAAAAACTAATTAAATCAAACAAAATGGAAACATACACAATTGAGTGTGATAAGAACTACGTAAAACCATCTTTGCAAAAGTTTAGCATGAGTTTATTTTTTTGGTAACAATGAGGAGGCAGGGTTTATGACTTATACTGCAGCTCACCACCAGGGGGTGACTGAAATGTTTTGCCTTCACTTTTGGCTGCTTTCAAGTTTACTTTTATATAGAGTCTATGGTCACAGCCAAAGCAGAATGATCCTCTTACCTAAACATATGACACCAGCATCTTCACCGTGCCCGCAGTTATTTTCTCCAAACCCAGGATGAGTACAGTATGTCAGAGCAGTCTCTTGACCTGAACACTCCACGTTATCCAGCCATATTGGACCAGATCCTCTACCGAAGTGAGCACTTGCAGGAGCAGAAACAGCGTGACCGCAGCCAAGCTGTCTACACACCACATCGGCATTTGGCATTTCCCATTCATCATCACACACAGTTCCCCACATGCCTTTATACAAAATCTCTACTCGTCCCGAGCATTCACCGGAGCCACCGACCAGACGAAGCTGTGCTGCATATGAAAGCAGAAATGGAGTGAGAAGAAAATCCTGGAGACATACATTTACATGCAATTTTGATTTGACACCTATTTTTTTATTTCAGACGTGAGTGCATCCATACACATAAAGAAACTGAACGTAAATGCATCTTACACATTGTCCCACTACAACCACCTGCTGGCTCTAGTTCCAAATTTAACTTAAATTAAATTTTTCATTGAACAATGAAACAAAGCTTAGAGTGTTTTTGCACTTGATTGAAAAAAGTAAATAAAATGATTTCCTGTTCCATTGCTTTTACTTGGAATCAATCGTCCAACTACACGTGAGGATTTTGAACACTTACCTGCACAAATAGCTCCAGCATCACGGTCATGCCCACATGTTGCTGCTCTGAAACCGTTGAGTGAGCACTGCTGAAGAGATGTCACATTTTCAAAACACAAATTGCTGGCCTCCACTACTGGTCCTCTGCCTTGGCCAAAATGGGCAGCACCGTATACGTTTATGGCACGTCCGCACTCCAGCAGCTCACACACAACCTCAGCTTTACTCAGGGTCCAGTCTGCATCGCATACTGTTTGCCACACATCACCTTGACGAACCTCTACTCTACCAGAGCAGTCGTCCTTGTCGTTGGTCAATCGGACCTCCAAACTTCCTGTGAAGTCAAACAAAATAAAACATTAAAACTGTATTAAAACATTAAAGTAAAAATGTTTTCTCTCGCACTTTATGATGGACTCAAAAGTAATTAAGTCAGAGAAGGAAACTAATGTCATACTGAGAGCACTGGAAAACGTATGTTTGGCTTCAGAGGTCATTATTGATCCTTAAAGTGTGATTCAGGTCATTTTATTGTAAAGGCTTAGTCTTACCTGTGCAGATAACACCGGCAACTGAGGTGATGTTGCAGGTTTTGTCTATAAATGGGGTTTGTGTGCACTGACTCAGGGTAGACTCTTGTCCATTGCATCCAATTTGATCGGTCCAGGTATGGCTAGTGCTGTGTCCATATTCGGTGAAGGTGGTAATCTTATGAGCCCCACCACAGTTCAGCTGTCTGCATACCACTGCAGCATCATTCCTATCCCAGGAGTCACCACACACAGTCCCCCACTGGCCTTTGTTGTAAAACTCCACTTTTCCAACACAACGATTGGACCCACCGGACAATTTGACATTGCCTGGAAAGGAGAGTTTATATATTAATGTGCATTCAGTCCAACTCTAGGTGTTTCAAGGTTTAACTGAAATTACAATTTATTTTGGCTAAAAAATGAATTATGCTATACACATGCTTGCCATTTTTCTTGACTTAAGAAATAACCTAAAACAAGAAAGTCAAGTTCTATAAACCTCTCTGCCATGATGGTGTTGGGATTATGGACATTTTTGTTTGGTTCTAGTTTTGCATGTTTGCCTGCATTGTGTTTCCTTCGATATGAGTTCTGTAATTTGATTGGCCCAATGTATATGACTGCACATTCTAAAATATAGTTTGTAACATTGCTTAATTCTCTGTAAACCCAAGATATAATTTCCAGTTCTACTTCAAGTCTTACCTGAACATTCAACCGCTGCCTCTTCAATGGTATCAAAGCTCGTTCTGACATATTCTCTCAGCGAGCACTGTACTATAGAGCTCTCTCTTCCACCACAACTGATCTTATACCCTCTCATATCACTGCCTTGACCAAATGATCCTGTGACCCTCACAGGATCCCCACAATTCATCTCTCTGCACACCACTGTAGCTTCATTCATTCCCCAGTTAAGGTTATATGCTGGAGACCAGTGGCCACCATAGTGGACTTCCACCCTGCCTGAGCACTGGTCAGTCCCATTGATCAGCCTAATGGTATCTGTGAAGCAATGCAGAGAGAATCAGCTGTTAGTCATTTGGTATTTGGACACATTTCAAAGCAATGCTGATTCACACTGAATGTGATATTCTGATGGATAAACTTTACTTGAAATAACTGTGATCTACCTGTTTAATCCTGAACAATAATCAACAAAATATCCATCTGAGGTTTTAGAGGAGATAGATAAATTCAGGCCTTCCAGGCTTTGTGATCCACACAGTCTAATAATAACTGAGATGATACCTGAACAAATCACACCAGCATCTTCTTCATGGCCACAGTTATTGTCTCCTAAGCTGGGATGTTGACAGTGGAAAAGGGACGTCTCATTCCCAATGCACTTGACATCATCCAGCCAGATGTCTCCATGGCCTTTACCAAAGTAGGCATTAGTTTTGGCTGTTAGAGCCGTTCCACAGTCCATGGCCCTGCAAACCACCTGAGCATTTTTGAAGTCCCACTCGTCATCGCACACTGTTCCCCACAAGCCATTTTGCAGAACTTCAACTCTGCCAGAGCATCGGCCAGTGCCATTGACAAGCCTGAGTGGTGGAATACCTGAGGAAGAATCTGAATATTGTGAAACTAGACACAACCTCAGCTAAAATATGAAATATCATGGTTTGCCTGAAACAATTTTATATTTGTCTCATACATATTTTGCCATACTTGTAATATCAAGTGATGGCAAAATAAGTCTGGTTATTTACTATACGTTTATTATCCAATCAAAGTGTTTTACACTACTGTTTTCTAAAACTGATATCTAGAATATTGCCAAATTTAATGCACATTTTTCCAATCTTTACTTTCAACTACCATACAACCTTTGTTATTCTATTGCAGTGCTGCCACATATGTCTATTCCTTGTTTCTTACCTGCACATGAAAGAGAAACACCATCACATGCCCCCGACTCATGAATTTCGCACTGGGTGATAGAGCTCACATCTCCAGAGCATGTAGTTGTAAAGCCTTTCATTCCACTTCGACCAAAACTTTTTTCTTGGGATTTTTTGGGAGCTCCGCACTCAAGTTCCTTGCACGCTAATGTAGCTTCTCTAAGGCTCCAGTTATTATTACAAATTGGCCCCCAATGGCCATTGTGAAAGAGCTCCACTCGGCCGGAGCATTGGTCCGTTCCATTGGTCAATCTGAGATTCTCTAGAAAATAATTTGTTAAAAGAAGAGGTATTATATGAGAGAAATTTAATGTTGAAGCAATAGCACATTTTCAGTTGCCTTTTGGGATCACAGGCTTTGTGGCAAAGAGAACAGATGGTACTGTTTAGTTTAGACATTATATTAATGCTATATATGTTTACAAACATACATCATTGGGAAACTAGCATTCCCATTTTCCAGAAATGGCTATCTATCACCTTTGGACCATGTAAATAAAGGATTTTCTTGGATTTTCACTTCAGTATCAATTTCAGGCACGGGTTCTACAACCTGCTTTTTCAGTTTGGCATTTGAAAATTAGGGTCTCATCCAGGCTTTGACTAATCTAAGAAGATTAGAATGTTACCTGAGCATTCAACACCAGCATCTTCATTGTGATCGCAGTCATTGTTTCCAAAACCTTTGTGAGGGCAGTCAGAGAGCGACTTCTCATGACCGATGCACTCAACATCATCCAGCCAAATCTGATCGTGGCCTCTCCCATAGAACGCCTTGTACTTGACTCCGAGGGAATTTCCACAGTTCATCTCTCGGCATACAACGGAGGCCTCCTGTATCCCCCATTTGTCATCGCAAACTGTTCCCCACACTGCATCATGGTAGACTTCCACTCGACCAGAGCACCTATTAGTCCCATTCATCAATCGAATTGGTTTACTGTCTGTTAGGGTGAAAAAGAAAAGTCAGTTTGTTTGATTTCACCACAGAAGATTTTTCCTTGTGCCTCCGGTTTCCTCCCACATTCCAAAGGAATGCAGGTTAGAATTGGCGACACCAAATTTTCCATACGTATGAATGTGAGTGTAGGTTGTTTGTCTTGGTCTAGTGGATGGATAATTTGATCACAAGGATCACTTACTTGAACAGAAAACACTAGCGTCTTCACAGGACTGCTTGAGTTCTTGAAGTGCGCACTGTGCAATAGTGCTCTCATTTCCGAAACAGGAGGTTTTGACACCACTTCTGTCATGTGTCCCTTCAAAATGTGGCATTACAACTGCAGCAACAGGAGTGCCGCAGTTAATCTCTTTGCACAGAATGTCGGCCTCGAGGGTGCCCCAGTCACTGCTGCACACTCGACTCCAGTGGCCATCATAAAAGACTTCCACTCTGCCATTGCAACGGTTGCTTCCATTGATCACCCTCACATTATCTGTGAACAATATGGTCAGACAACGTAAAGAAAATGCAAAGATTCCATAATTATGACTTAACTATCTCTTAAATTTGACTTTTTAATCTTTGATTTACTATCTCATAATTATGACTTAATATTTTTAAAATTTAGCGATTTACTATCTAATCATTTTTAATTCCATAGTTTTTGTCTCATTTTTTCTTTCACTGACTGGTCTTCCATACCATATTTATTTGTGTTTTAGTTTGTACAACTTTTGCTTATGTAGATTTAAAAAATGTTTGTTTGATTAAGCAAAAGTGGGTCAAGTGAAGCAAACATTACTGAGATGCACGAATGGACTTCGTCTCACCCGAGCAGATAACCCCAACATCTTCATTGTGGCCACAATTACTTTCTCCAAGTGGTCTGTGGGGGCATTTTAGGATGGAACTCTCATGGCCAGTGCATTGCACATCATCCAACCAGATTTCATCCTTCCCATGTTCGAAGAAGGCGCCTTTTTTCACCTCAAGGGACGTCCCACAATCTAACTCTCGACACACCACGTCAGCATTATTTATGCTCCAGTGATCGTCACACACTGTTCCCCATGTGCCTTGGTGGAAGACCTCCAGTCTACCAGAGCAGCGTGTGGGCCCGATAAGCCTAATTTGACCACATTCTGGAAATCAAAAATATGAAAGCACAAATAACCAGAGGCTGCCCCATCATGAAAAAGCAAAACGTTAATTTATTTTCTATCGTGGTGCAGAAATATAAAAATCTAAACAATATTACAGGGTTTTCAGATGTGACAAAATTAAACTTACTGACCTGTAAGTGGCAGAACACTCAGGAGACCTACAGCAGAAATACAGAAATAAAATGCTCACAGTCACTGACATTTTAAGTAGACTTATGCTCTCAATATCCTACATAACAGTCAGTGCTATATTCTGTCATATTTCATGAGGAGCCCCTGTGAGATCTACAATTTCATTTTCAAGATTGCTCAAAACAAGTGACTCACAATCGTTTAGCATCGACTTTGACACAGTGAAAAAAAATTATCTTATACAGATTCTCTGACTTTCACTTCTGTTTATCTCTCTTGTAGTTTTGAAGAACCCACCAAACAACTGTACAACAGATAGATGAAATAGACTCACCTATTGACAAATAAAGAACAAAATGGAGATTGTCAGTAGAAATGAAGACCATTTTGTGTCTTCGGAGCAGAGTAGAGTAGCTTTCATGGCAGAATAAAAAAGTATTGTTAAATGTGTGTTGTATTGTATAGCCTTTTTTTGTATAGCAAAAAAACACAACTTGTTGTTTTAGCAGCAGGTCTTACCTTTTTTAAATTCAAGCAGTGTGGGCAGCTCTTATAAACAAACTCACAATTAAAAAATAAATCACCAGAGGATAGACGTCCCCATGTACACTTCCAGTAATTGAATAAAAAGGGAACTGCCTGGACTTGGACTGCAAACTGAATGCTTGTTGACATTTTGATCAATCATTAAAGGCGGAGGATCAGAAGGAGATTTCATTTAGTTTTTAAACAGTTTCTATATTTGGAGACATATTCATCAGGAAAACACTGCAAAATGTAACATAACACAAGCAATAGGTTTCATATAATGGGTAAAAAAAAAGTGATTTACAGACGAGATGTGGAAAAACAAAAAGGGTAACACAGATCAAAAGGGGAGTTGTTATGAGCGAATGTCAAGAGGTGAACTTGACCACTGACTCCTAACGCTGCCCTCATCCTCACCCACCTCTGGTTATTACTCACTTCAAACCCTTTGTATGTTGGCTTTGCGGCAAGGCCATTTCCTCATTCTTGTGTTATAGTCTTAATACAACACATATAAACATACAGGGCAGACGACAGATTTTGCATTCACAGAATTATGCCTCACTTTTGTGTTTACAATCTGAAAAAATGATCAAGGCAGAATCATCTCCACATTATTTTTGCATCGTCCTGTAAATATGAGCATTGGTTTGCAGAACAATGAAGAATTAAACAAAATAATTAAATGACATTAAATTCTACCATGCCCTTAAATGGTCCTCCTAATTAATGTAAATCTTACATTTGGTTGTCACTATGTGAGCCTTTTGCTTTATATCTAAAGTAAGTATTACTTTGCATATCTATTTACCTATTACCTATTTAAACTCATCATATTATGTCATATAATAATAATAATAATATGTCACAATAATTTAAATGTTCTTACCTTACAAACTGAGTTGACAGTTTTGTGCTCACCAGAGTAACATTGATCTCGACAGATCTCTCTTGTGCCGCACCTTTTCTCAATGGCTGCGGGAATGAAGCATAACTTCCCCTTGCAAAGCTTTGAGCAACAGTACGTTTTTTTTCTGTATTCATTCAGTTCTTGTTAGGGATCTTAAAATATTACCCACCCTACATTGTTTTCTGGTGGGAGCAACAAGAATCTGCTTATATTACTTCTACTGCATCTTTGGAGCCCCAGTTGAAATTATATGTGGAGCGATGACATGCAAAATAAGAGATGTAATGTTTCACCATCATTTATCACCTGTTACAAACTGTTAACCAGCGGAAGATATGGGGATTTATACATAGAGACACTGTGGACACTGTGGAATTGGTGGAAGTGGTCCGTGCTATTGTACGTGATAATAAAGTTATGAAAATAAGATATTTCTTTTGGTAATCATTACACACTATCCCTGTCAAATAAAGAAAAAACTATGATAAATGTATTTTAAAGAGTGGATAAAAGTCACCTTGGCTATTTCCTCAAGATGTTGTTCCTTTGATTGTTGTTTATAAAAAGAATTCTGTCCAATAACATGAAAGTTTCCAGGTACAGGATGTTGCATAACTGACTTGTCTATTCAGCAGTTTGAGTCGCCTGGTTTGACCATCTGTTTGAGTGAGTTTGATGACTTTCCTTTATATGCCCCAGATGCAATTCACTACTTCCTCACAAAAACATCAAATCTGGAACTTCCCTTGATGCTGTTTGAGTCACTTTAACTTCAAACTTCAAATATTTTCTCTTAGAGGTTGACGTTAAAGCTTTCTCCAAAATATCAATGTTGAATAGTGACTTAGAATAGAACTAGGTTTCAGTTTAGGCCTTAAGTTTATGTTTAGCAATCACGCTCTGAAGGAATCTCATAGAAATGCCTGTTCACAAGGGACGTCACACATGGACCATGCTGTTCATCGATGGGCTTTTTGACTTATTTTCAGCTCGATACCTTTTTTATACTAGGTAATTTTTACTTTTGACAGCTCTACTAATAAAATGAATGACGGTTCTGTTCTATTTAAGTGTGCCTTGTAAGCCGTAACAGCCTGTGACAGCATGATCGACACTTTAAGTTACACTTATGATGCTAATTGGAACTTACATATCCAATTTTTCCAGCTTTACAGTTCAGTCAGACAGAAAACCCACAATTTCTTATTAATAACAGCTCTAACACTGAGAAGAGCCATGGCAGAACAGAGCACTGAGGTTTGGAGAGGACAGTGGGCTAAACACATATTGATGTCTGAGTAAATGATTACAGACACAAAGATAGGCACGATTGTCTGATGGGAAATGACTTTACACCACAGGGCAAGGGGGCAGGACGATCATGTCGCAAACAAGAAAACTGGCTCACATGTTGCTGTTGTGTGTTTTGAATTGCGGCGGTAATTTTCCCATCGTAGTGATAAGTAACGTCACCACAGCTAGATTTATCGTGCTGTTGTTGACATCATATCAATTGTCATGAAGTCAGACGTCTGCAGTGAGCTAATGTTCTAAATGAACATAAACACATGCGGTGCTCTCACACAGAATTTAACATGACACACGATCTCCGCCTCTTAGATCATCAGGTTGTAGTTTTTACTTGCAGCAGTTAAGATGGACTAATCAATTATGCAAAGAAATAACACTATGTAAACAATTAGACACATAAAAAAACACTGAGGCAAAAAAATACTCAAAAGTACTTTAATTGGCTTTGTTGTGCAAAATAACCACACAGTGAGGTGTCAGTGAGTGTGATGCTCTCATGAAACTAAAACAAAATGCCACAGTTAACCACAACAGTCACAGACAGAGGTGTAACAGATGTTAATATCTCACAAAAACTTTGCAAGAAATTCAAGTCATGATCTAACAATAGTAAAAATAGGAATGCTGTCAGTATCCACGGCAACAATGTGATGTCCTTTTTGAATTGAAACTATTAAAAGGGTGAGGGCGTATCCTTCTTTTTTTCAGATGGCACAACATTCAGGAGAAATGGTTTGTGAGGGTGGAGATAACGCTTCGTGTTGACATTAAAGAAAGACACAGCATGCAAACAACAGGGCTGCAGGAAGGAGGACGATGTTTGCTCATATTTTTGCAACTATTTACTCAGACATTGGAAATATATGGAGTGAGAAGTGGAGGCACAGAAAAGGGCAGCAGAGGCTGGGAGCTTTGTCACTCATTGACCTCGAAGCGACAACAATCTCTTAGATCCTCTGTGGCAACACTTGGAGTAATCTATTACTCTCGGTCTATTGTTGTTTTGATTAGAGTCTGAAGCTGCCAATTTTTTTTATTGTTATCAACAAATACCACAACAAGTGCTGTCTGCCTTTGTCATAGCCTGATATGGATTATTTCTCTGTGCCACTGTTTTCAGAAACACAGTCAGTGGGCCGCACTGTTGCTCTGAGTGACATGTTCCTTCATTATTATAAACCTGGGAACTGCTGTGTGTTTTGCTGTTTCCCTGTTTTAGCCATGTTTGCTAAAAAAAATGATGATCAGCTATTTTTAATTAACTCTATGTTTCAAAACTGTTTTTAAAGATTTACATTTTGCAGACATAGGGAAAAACATGCTGACCTTGTGCTTCAAAACGTTGACAAAGATTTCTCAAAAAAGCGCATCAACAGAAAACAAAAATGCAAAAGCCACAACACAACTGGTTGAGTTTCTGTTGTGTGGCTATTGCAGTTGTGTTGTGGCTTTTGTGGTTGTGTTGTGGCTTCTGCATATGTGGGATGTCTCTGACCACCCTACTTTAGTCAAGGTGGCAGTGGAATGATAAAAAAAGAAGTTGTGTGTTTATTTGATGACAGTAACTACACACTCAACATAGACGCTGGCAACGATATGATGTATAATCAGAATAAGAGGATGGTCTCTTCTGCTTTGTGTTAAGCTGCAGTGTCACTGTCACCTCTGGGGAGGCATCCTCATACACACACACACACACACACACACACACAGATATAATTGGTCGACCTCGGGTTGTTTCAGGTTGCGTGAAGTGCTACCTCTCAGCTCCCCCTCACTTAACACAGCCTTCATTAACAGCTGCTGATACAGACCACAACACACACACACATACTAAGGCATGCACACACAATACAGGTGTGTATTCAGGTGGCTTGTGCTGCACTACTGCACCTGATAATTGAAGCACTGATGCATTGTCGTGTAGTCTGCACCGAATTCATGCTACTGCATTTTACTATCACAGTGCGTTAAAGACGAGTAGGAAACACAAGCTGCTTCCATCATAAGGTGACTCTTCTTCCAAGATAAAGTGGCCTCTTGGGAGTCAGACACGTCTCTGGGACTTCACTGATGGTGGAATGTTGCTTAAACTGTTTTTTTAAAGTCAGTAGGGAAAAGCCCTCAAGGGGGTGGTGAGGTTTGGCAAAAAGCTGGCATCTAATCAGGAGGATCACTGTTGGAGGACGTGATGCAACACAGGGAGCGACACGCTTCGTGTCCTAATCTTTGAAGGTCACTGGGACGTGGCACCACCTGCAGTTTGATCTATGACTCCGAATCCTGGACAAATTGAGGGGGAAAAAATAGAACAACAGTTAAAATCGAATTACAGTATCTGCATTTCATGAAATGTGTCCTCAAAAATTCTTTAAGACTATGACTATGACATAGCAAGATCAGAGCATCCCTGCTAAACATCAGGAACATTTCCAGACTACATGCTGCTGGTTTACACATAATTGTATCTTCTCTAACTGAATTATCTAATGGACCTCAAGAAGAAAGAGAGCAGGAAAAGGATATGGCTGTTGGAAAATCGAATAAACACTCCTGGAAGCTCCTTCACTGTTGTGACAGTTGTATTTTTCCAAAAGCAACAATGTAGTTCCAGCTCTAACATGAAAGTGAAAGATACATTTGGGTCTTCTAAACTGCAGACTTTCAAGAATGGCCTGCCTCGGCCAATTTAGGCTTTGTTTACGTTGTAAACAAACAAGTTGTATTTGTGTGCACCTATTTGCATCAAGGATGACAAGGATCCAAGATGAGGTGGCAATAAGATCAGTTTTCCCAGTCAGGAACTAAGTTTTCCCATTATTTGGACACCACATGAATGCACAGTAAGCTCCCTGAGCATGGAGACTTGATGGAGACTTTTTGCCAGCTACTGGCCCAGCATGCTCGTTTGAGTGTTTGTAGTCATTTTGAGTTGTTGTCTAGACACTAATATTTTTGAAAAAGCATTTTTTCACAAAAAAATACCCACAATAGAGTAACAGCCTTATTTTTATTCCTGGATTTTCTGAGATTGTGCAGGAAGTATGATCAAGAGGATTTTTTTCTCATGATATTTGTTAAACAGACGGATATGAGGAGACAAAGCTGCTGAATCTAGATATAATGACTTCTCCTTTTCTCACAGCAACAACCTGAGTCATCAATCAAACGCTTAGTTCAAAAGCATCTTGCGGGATCTGGAGCTGCTGACCCAGCATCATGGAGAGATGGTGGCAGTGTTGATTGAGGAAGTTGGGTGGATGTATGACTCACAGCACAGTGGCAGTTTGTGTGCGTTTTTGTGTATGCACGTTCACTCACTTTCACTGAGGGTTTGGAACTGAGGCCAAGGAATGAAACCACAGTGTTGTTCTCCTTCGCTTGGAAGAAGTCTTCATAGTCCTGAGGGAGGAGGAAGAAAAAAAAGGCTGTTGAGTGTTATATAATCTCTACAATTTGAATGGTGGACGTAAACATGCTAAATGCTCCATATGCTCCCACTGTTGCTTTGCATATAATTCAGTGACCATGACATTGCAGAGTAATGGTGGATTACCTTGGCCAGTGAGAGCAACGGCAGGCAGAGCGGATAATCTGCCTCGTCCATGAAACTGGATTACGACGGGATTACAGAGAAGTGTGCAATCCCAGTAGAGGACAGAAACTGGCAACCTCCGACTGATCGAACTCATTCACCAGCATATAGATAGTTTAGCTTTGTGCTAACTTCAAATGGTGTGACCCATTTTCTGGCATTATTTTTCTAAATTTAACCATCATCTATGTAAAGTTATGACATTGGAAATGCACTTAATGTGTTTTTAATCCATGGGTATGATATATATATAAAATGCATTTTAGCGTGGGACCATAAAAACTGTAAAAGGGTCCGTTAAAAATCACAACACTATTATAAACATTATCAACCCATACCCCGGCCATCATACCCCGCAATAGTAGTCATCATTGAAGATCTGAGGAGGGAGCGGGTTGCCTTTCTCTGGCTGCTTGTCCCGGGGAATGTTGCGGTACATCCAGAGTCTTTGCTCCTCCAGCATTGTGATGTCTATTCCCTGGAAGCTGATGCGATTGGCCTCCAGGAAACCAACAATGGCCTGCTGATGCTTTTTTACCTGGGACGGTCCAAAGGGGAATGAAAGGAGAAGGACGGAGTACAGCAGGGGAGGGATGGTGAAGAAAATGAGGGAGGGGATAAAGAGGTACATTTGATAGAATTGAGAGAAATGACAAAGCCAGCGGCAGCAAACAGACAAAACCCATAGTTAAGAGTCAACTTTCCCAGCTAAGGTCTATGAGATGGATGTAACAGCTCCCAGCTGTAGTGCTGTCCTGATGTACTCTGGGACAACATGGTTCTGTGTGTGTTTGTGTGTGTGTGTGTGTGTG